TTGTCATTTAGAAATAATATACCCTGGTATTTTCCTATTTCGCCACAAAAACAATAAGTTTCGATCATTTGTTGAGAAAGACCCTCAATGCCACTATAGAGAAGAAAGTATTCGCACAACTTAAGTAGTGTCTTTGCTATAAGATAACTATAATGTATTAGTTTTAATTGGAGAATATTGTTTTTTGAAATATGCAATGATAAAAAAGTTACCTGATAATTCTTTATTTTAAGTTGAAGAAACTTTTCTTTGTCACCTTGCATGAACTGTACTTTGTATTTTGCCAACGAACTGTGAACGTTTAACAGCATCATTTATTTGAACTTATTTATGTTTGACATACTAAATAAAGATCCTAAATTAAGCTTGTAAAACTGTGATGGATTGAATAATACAGATAGGATCGTTTATATATCATCATTACCATGTGTATATTTAGGACAAAATATAAACATATTTAACTAATTAAAAATGAAAAAAGATGTTCTGCTCTTTATTTCACAAACGTTTGGCAAATTTAAAACATGAAACTTTCCAATTTGTATCTTGGTAGATACAGTAGGGTGAACGTTTCGGTTGTCTAAAATAACGTTTTTCGTGCGTGCTTTTTTTTGCGTATATCGTGCGTGCGTATATCGTGCAACGTGTGTCTGATAAAACGCTTTCTCAAGAGTACATCGTTTGCAAGCGTTAAACGTTTGCCGTCTTCCGTGTATCATTTTTCGTTTAGCGTGCGTTTGTGTTCCCCAGAATTAGTTTTTAAAATGCCATATTAATTTCGTTCGCCTATATGTAAATGATTTACTGGGACAGGACACTCCTAAGCTTTCATTGCCTTTTGCCCAGTCCCAAATGTATTGTGTAAATATTGTTCATCATAATTTATTCCAGAGCGTGAGTATTGCGTGTAAACTGAAACGTTCATCCTACTGTATAACTTAAACAGAAACTCATAAATAAAATAATATTCTTTTCTTTTTCCATCATTAACATTTAAGCAGACGCTCACCTCTCGTCAATGCATTTCTTCAGTGTTAAAACCCAATTTTTGTCTATAAGAACACCAGTGCAAACCTGCTTCCCTGATTTCTCAATTTTAGCCACATATGGATAACTTTTGCCGTCAACAGTCTTGCCTTTCTTTATTCTTGATTCCTTTTCGTGAGGACTGCACGACACTAGCACCGTTACTTAAAAAAATAATTTTAAATCGAAACCCTTTTTTGTCAGTATATTTAAATATCAAATAAATTAATGTTCGAGGGTGAAATATTAAAGTAAATATACTATTCTATAATAAGAGCAGTGTAAGCATGCACGTTTTGGTTAATTCAACAAACAGGTTGCATTTAAATTGACAAGAAAAAAACATTAATTAAATCCAAAGTCTGATTATTTTGACAAATTGAATGCTGATTTTTTGGTATGCATATACACGTATAAAATTATTAAAGACTAGTTGTTTTCACTTTAATTTCCCGTTATCATCAATTTTAAATTAAACAGTTAAAAATAATCAAATACTTTGAAGAATATTAATTCAGTTGAAATAGTACATCTTAAAAAAATGTGTCTTTACATACTACATACTTCTCCTGTTTTGTCTATCCAAACGAACAAAACAAAATATTAGGTAGTTACAAGTTAAATGTTGATGCTGCACATTAAAGACGTTGCCAAATGATGTGAACAATCAATCAGCATTGAAAATCGTTCTCTATTACAGTTGAATATCCGAAACACAAATCATTTTTTTTCTCCATGTTCTTGGAATGTGCTCGTTGTTTAATAATAATGTTGCATTTTTTTGCGAAAAGGTAGAACCTAATGCATAAATTCAAAAAGTAATGTCATGTCTGAACTCTTAAATGTTTGTCTTTTGCGACAAATATTGAAACGTCTGGTCGAAGCAAAATAAGTTGGATAAAAAGTAAAATTGATATGATTGGTATACTTAAAATAAATTCAAGACAATATGTGGCGAGAATATATCCATTCAATTTTTGGTACGAATTGCATAATATTCGAATGATTTTGAGGACGAACTGTTCTGCAGTGATCTCCTCTCACTGGCCGTAGCCTAACCGGCGTACTTTCCTAACGGTTGAGGGAGAACCGCCTCTCTGATAGTGTATAATGGTTTAGGCTTTGTAACTTGTAGTTTAATGATTCGACAAGTGCTATTGATCAAAGTTGTCCTGGTTCCATCGAAGACTAATGCTAGATTACGGAGTATCATAATTAGTATGCAACAATTTAAGGCGGAGTCGAACTTCAACAGAGGCGTAGCAAATGAAGTAAGTGACACTGCCCCAGTCGTTACCTCTTTCAGCGGTTAAGTTTTAGGACGATCGACTATAGCCTGGCTCATTGAAACGTTTTTTATTATGTAGATAAAATTAGATAATGATAAAAAGAATATGATATTCAAACATGGCACTTTCACTTCAATGAAACGTTTACTCTAATCCTTTAAAGCTCTGTGACATGTTGTACATCAGAAAAGCTATCTTAATTAGAAAATTTGAAAATAGTGTGACTTTGTTAAAAAAACAACAGAAATACACAAAATCAAGTCTAAAAGTGTCCCTATTACTGTATGGACAAATGCATATCATATCTACTAAACATCGCTTTCAAGCGGCGTCTAATGAAGGTATTTACGTTACCCAATGCAATCATAAATTTACATTCATGTCAATTTACTTTAAACCGCGAAAAGTAGGCTCTGGAAATTTGCTTAAAACAGACTATTACTCAGCCATACTTCAATAGCAGACATACTGAGTCTGATAAAGAAATGACGTATATATTAAGTATACATTTATGAGATGTTTCTTTTTTTTTTTTTTTTTTTTTTGTTAAAAAAGTTTAAAATCTTCAACTTAGAAAAAAAACAACAGTCATACAATTGAAAATATAGCGAAAATTTGAAAAAAATATTATCACTATTAACGTACATATTCACGATCCCATGCATACCAACTATTTTTTGCAAAAAGAGAAACTATACATGCAATATACGAAAAGAAAAAATTATAAACTTATCATTCTGAGTGTTTACACGTCAAGAGTAAAACAGTATTATTGTATGTAAATAAGTGAAGAATGAAAATATGTACAAAATCCTTGTAATTCCTTGCAGATTTATATGTAAAAAATACTTACATAGCGTAAAGTAGATACAAATTTTCATGAAATCCATTTAATATCTGTAAACTTACATAAACTTAAGAATTTGCAATTATTATTATATGAAGTGTTTTCTTATAGCTTTGAAACCATGTAGGTAGATATTGGCGAAAGTAATATACATGTATTAAAAATTCATTAAATGATTTTTATAATGCGTAATTTCTTATGCCAGTGGCACTATAATATGTAATGTTAGTAATTGGTATAGTATAACCGTTACCTTTGTGTCTCAATTATAATACAAATTATCTTGTGTAACAATCATTGTTGAACATCCGAAGTATCTCTAGGCGTTTATAAATCGTATGAGAAATCGACAGCTCAAGAACTTTGACCATTCGCAACTAAGTATTACATTTGCTTAAAGGTAGTGGTAAAACAATGTCTCATTATGCTTAACAATTTTGACAACTAAAACTTTGATGTATGAGTGGGTAATTGACCGGACACTTTCTTCAACTGTTGACCTTTAATCTTTAACTAAGGCGTCATGGCAAATTCCTTCAGCAAGATACACATTTTGGTCAAGTTATATGAAAATTCATTGAAACATGACTGAATTACTGGCCAGACAAAATAGCTGACATATAAATTTGACCTTGGATGACATGGTTATTGGTTGGACGCTTATTATAATACACATTTGTAGAGTGTTTTTATTATCCCTTGATTCACGACTGAGCTGCGACTAAGTGTGACCTTTACCTTGGAGCTAGGGGTTTGGGTGTTTCTTAACATTAATGATAACTTGTTAAACATATCCTTTAATTCAAGACTGAGTAATAGGCCGGACAAACAGGGGTAATGCTATATTCCCCAATCATAATGGCGGAGACATTGAAACTTTTTGTAAGTTACAATGGCGTAAATATACAAGTGTTTTAATTTTTGGTTTTGCTCTAACCAAATATATTACAAACAGTTGCATTGTTTTACCTTTAGAACATAAAACTCTTGTGAGGTAGATTTCAGTTATACAATATAATTCAGACCAAAGAAATGTTTGCAAAAACATTTTATTTGTGGAGAAATATTATTGAATAACCTGAAACTTATCAAATCATTTCCTTTTTTATTTTATACAATCAATCCAAGAGTACAGGTCAAAAGTAAAATTTCATTTAAATAAGCAAATTTGGTTTATCTGAAAGCATTTATACACATACAACGTACATAAGATGGCGATATGTCCAGATGTTGTTATGCGCAGAGAAACTACATATACTTTAAGATTTTTCAAATCACAGAGCGTGTAATCTTTTTCATCGTCATAACGAGGCCAATGATAGAGGACAAAACTATGTTGATACTGATATTTGACAATGCATGTTAACAAGAAATGTACAACGAAGAAACACGTCTTATATTCAGCCAGTGTTCTTATTTAAAGCATACACAGTTTTGTTTTGGATCATACGCCCGTGTCTCATGTAATGACACTTGGTGCCGTGTTGAAGGTTCCATTATAACAGCCGTCTAAAAACACCATTTAGGGATGTTTCCTTTTTACAAATTCACCGTTATCTTGTTAAGACTGTTGAATACTGCACGAAAAGATGCTATGGGGAGTTGGAAGTAGCTTTTACTTGATTAAACAATATGCAATATGTTTGTATGTTGCTGTTTTACATATTCATTCCGAATTTATCAAATTAAAAATTCTTAAGGTATGTTAAATCATTGTATCGTGGCTGTTTTCATCCAACGAAATCGATTTAATCTTAATGTAAATTAATTTACATTGGTTTATGCGAAATAATTACAAAATACCGACAGTGGTATTTAAACAAATAAGCTTATTATTATAATTTTATACTTCTTTCTTAACTTCCATTATTAACTGTTCCATATTAAAATGCACTTATAATTATATTCACGAATCCCATTTTTATATTAGGTCCGACACTGTTTTCATCACGAGCCAATGTATCTATTTGGTAAAAGCCATTTATTCTTGTTTCATGGCAATGCAATTACGGGCCGGTCGGTAGGGCGCCTAAAGCAATATTAAAATGAGATCGATATTCTCTGTTATATGGAATATCATTAATCATGTTCCCGAAAATCTATATAAAAAGTCACGTTTCTCAAATAAATCTGTGCGTATCGTCCTTCCACGTGCCTAGCCCAACTGTTCACAAATCTCTCGGTAAGAATCTTTATTTTTCTCCATTTGATTCACTAATATAGTAACAGTTTGTTTTTTTTCACTAAAACTTACATCTGTGATGATTTATACAAAATGTGACGGTATAAAACGAGATGCTTCACTCATAACTGATTGTCTTTAATATCAGTATGATATTAATCATTTCCCGGGAAATAACTGACAAATAGGCACGTTTTTTTTTCGATTGCTGGTTTTCTAATCTTCTGTAAACAACGGTGTCATGATGACCATTAATTTTTTTGACACACGGTACCAAGAGTTTATAAGTAAAGCGTTGTTCATGATTGATTTATGTGATTTATGTGATCCTTAATTGACCGATGTCAAGAGATGAGTTCAAAAGAGGATCTAATACTTAACAGATCTTCATACCTGAACAAACAGGTATATAAATGTTTATAATTTCAAACTATTCGTATACTTACTATTCTAAATTTGGATATTTGTATTACAACATAATCAAGTGCTTACGCTAATTGTATATGCCAAGGGAAATGCTTGTTGTGTAAATGTGTATCAAACTGTTATTAAATGTCTTGTATTGTAAGTTCACTCATGCCCAGGATTTTGTTTGTCTGGGTTTACGGCGCACCAACACAATTTGGTAATATTCCCCCTAAACAAGATAGGTGATTTTGGCTAACATTGGATGTTACAAACTTATTAAAGTAACACCTGGGGCAAAAATACAACTAATTTGCAGTAGCTTAATGATGAATAGAATCCTATTATTCGAACTTGTTTAGTCAACTATTACGATCACGAAGGGATAAACGGTATTATCCTGAAACATAAATAAATCTATGCAGTTACAACCATAAGGAGTGGTGGAAAACGGTATTACTGACAGTAACGTCCTTGTTCAGCCCACACAAATGAAAACAAGTTGTATAACAATGTTTTACGTGCACGATGTTGTTAGGTCAGGCCTGTATAGTCATTATTTAAAAGTAAAATGTTGGAAATACTTTTCAAGAAGTTATAACTATAACAATCCTTTCAGTAATAAGGGCATTCATTCAAAACGCAATGATTGACCGTTTATATTATTTTTCATTGTGTCGCAATGACATTAACGAGATCAATACTGACATGAAGCAGATCTTCCATACGTTCTATCGTTCAGGACTTTCAAAGTAATACCAATGTCCTAAATGAATGTAGGTTCTAAGAATCATAATTCATTTGTTTATAAAATAAGATTAAATTTAGAAAAAGACGCCCACATTTTCCATATTCCTATTTACAAATAATATAGATTAAAAAGTACAAACCATAATGAAATGGATAATTGTAACAATTGTTTTACGAGTGACCAACAGACCGCTCCCTTTAATCCCGTCTTATCAAGATAACTTGTTCGTGAAAAAAATATTTCCCTCAAGTCAGAGGTTTTCTAATTTCCTTTAAGTTGTGTCACTATCATCTGTTCTTCCGGTTGTACACGCAAATTTCAACAATTTAAAGAATTTCGGCAATGAAAGGACAAATTAGCTGAAAAATATAGATTTCCTACTTAATAAAACAGAAAAAAAAAACAGAAACACATCTATATTTTAGAAGATCTGAATATTAATATCCAAACCATCTGTATGGGAGGCTGAATCTGTATTTCATTTTTAACAAAACATGAAGGCATCTAAACAGGCAATATAACTAATCAAAATTTCATCGAAATATACATTATTATCTTTGGTATTGTTGTTTCTATCTGAACATTTTGCAAACGATTACGATTACTTTAAAATAAGTTGGGTCATTCATTTCTGACCACAACCATGTTACTTAATTCAATGGCATCGAGTGTAGATGAAACAATTCCCTGCTAATATTTAAGCCGGTTTATCGTTATATTTTTCACAACGTTTTTGCTTGTTAGAGAACTCTAAATAGCATTAAATTTACCAGTAATATTTTTCCATTTGAAAGTTAAATGTTATCAGCTATGTTCGAAAGTTCTTTTGAAATAAAGACGATTGTTTTGAACATTTAGAAGCGGACGATTTTCTGTTAATCTTGAAATTCATTAAATGTTTCTTATCCAAACAGCACACATACTGTATCCAATTTACAAATAATAATTTCATTGTACATTTCATATGGTTTTTACTGCTTTTCACAAAAGGGATGGCATCGTTGTTCATCACCGTTAACATTTTATATTATAGCTATGCATTTTCGACCTCTCGATGATGTAGTATATTATATCATATTATACAATGTAAACATAATTAAGTTGCATGCCAAAATTTAAACTTTCTATATACCGATAAAAAACTTTTTTCTCAGGAAACCTGCATACAATTTAAATATCACAACAACTGTATTTTCATTCAAATATATGTAAGTAGTGCCAGAGATATGGAAAAAATCTAATATTGCTTTTTAAGAAAGGATATTTTACGATAATTCTTCATAAAATAATGAAAGGGATCGACAACGAATCTAACGTTTACAAGATACAGGCTGGTGTATGTAATTTGTATTTGTTGTTTTTGTTATTCTTCTGCAGTAATTTGTAAAATCAGGTTATTTTTATTATATGCATGTGTCAATTTTATGTTTTTCCTTCAGTATTGCATCGAATGCATTAATTGGTATGACTTATGTGACATAGAATACAAATATACAAATAATCAGTTTCCTAGAATTCTATATATTAGATTTCACAGTTTCCCAGATGAATGTGCCTTTTGTAAATTACCAGTGCTGAATTTGATACACTGTTACATTAACAGTTTTGTTTTGGAACTAAGACATGCGGAAACATTTAATTACCACGAGATGGTATTAGAAAAGTTAAATTGACTGAAAAATGTTACGCATTCTCTCTTAATGATGGTACGGATTATGTTTCTTGTCTATGACAGACAGAATAATATGGTGTTCTACTCAAATTTATTTCCCGT